TCCCTTATTAGTATTATAAAGTTTATAGGAATGGTTTCATAGATAGATGGAATATATAAAGAACAAAAAGTAGCACTAAATCGCAAATAAATAAATAAATAAAATCTAATTACAATGGTCAAAGACATGAAGAAACGTTTCTCTGAAGAGTATATAAATGAAAAATAAGCATATTAAAAATGTTCAACGTTATTAGCCATTTTATGGAAATCTAAATTTAAAACACAATGAGATATTACTACATCTATCAGAATGGCTAAAATAAAAAGAGTAATAAAATCAAATGTGGGAGAAGATGCAGAGAAATGTTATAATCCATACATTGTTGGTGAGAGTGTAAAATGGTACAATCACTCTAGAAAATAGTTTGCTACTATCTTAAAAAAAAAAACAACCCTAACTAAAATGTTAATACCATATAACCCAGCAATTAACTCCTGAGAATTCATTACAGAAAAAATGAAAATTATATTTATACAAAATCATATACACAAATGTTTATAGTAGCCCTAATTGTAGTAGCTCCAAACTGGAAACAACCCAAATATCCTTTCATGGGTAAATAGTTAAACAAATTGTAGTAACCCATGCTATGAAATACTATGATCAATAAAAAGAAACCAACAATAAACACAAAAACCTGGATGAATCTCTGCATATTTATTCTAATTGAAAAAAGTGCCAATTATGAAAAATTACATACTGTATGATTCCATTTATATAAATTTTAAAATTACCAAATTATAGTAATGGAGAAGAGATTAGAGGTTGCAGTAAGGGAGCTCTAATGGGTAAGTTTAAAGGGAAGATGGGAGACAAGTCAATGTGAAGATCCAAGTACAAAATTAAGGATTCTTGCTATGAGGAAATCTGTATTTTGCCTATATCAATGCCAATGTCTAGTTGTGTTACCGTACTATGAACTTTTTAAGATCTTGTGAGATAAAACTGGGTGTCCAAAACACGATATCTCTCTGTATCATTACTTACAACTACACATTAATATACAATTATTTCAGAATAAAATATTTAATTTAAAATATAAACCCAAAAGATAAAATAACAAATAAAACATTATACAGCTCATAAGCCACATTTGCAGAAAAACATAAATAGAAATAAAATCATTTTAATAATCAATTTATCCAAATCATAGGAGAAAAGAAGAAAAGGAGGAAGAGAACAGAATGGACCAACAGGAAAAAAAAGAAAAGAAAAAAAGAAAACTAAGATAAATTATTTCAACTTGATTATTTCAATTATTACATTAAATGTAAGTGGTTTAAACACCCTAATTAAAGGACAGAGATTATCAGATTGAAATAAAGAAAAACAAGGCTCAATGACTGCTGCTTACAAGACTTGGACTTCAAATATAAAAGCACAAATACATTAAAAGTAAAATTATGGAAAAATACTATGAGAGAGAAGTAGATGAAAGAGAGTAGAGAACCAGAAATGTATGAACAACTTATTTCTTATAAATATGTAAATTTCATAGAGAAAGGCTATCTTTTCAACAAATGATACTGGAAATATTGAATATCCATATACAAAAACTGAGTATATCCTTACATAGTACCTGTGATTGTTCATTTTATATGTCAACCCAACTGGAGCATGGGGTGACCAGCTATTTTATTAAATATCATTTCTGGACATGTCTGTGAGGATGTTTCTAAATGATGTTAGCATTTGAATTGGTATGCTAAATGAAACATATTGCCGTCACCACTGTGAGTGGGCATCATCCAGTACACTGAGTGTTCAAATAAAATAAAAATTTGAAAGAAGGGAAAATTCACTCTCTCTGCTTGGCTACTTGAGCTAGAACATTGATCTTTCTCCTGCTCTTGGAATGGAACTTACATCTTACATCATTGATGCTTCTGGTTCTTAGGCTTTTGGACTTGGACCAGAATTTATATGATGAGTTCTCTCGGATCTCAGGCCTTTAGACTCAGATGGGGACTGCACCACTGGCTTCCATAGGTCTCCAGCTTTCAGGTGGAAGATGGTGAAACTTCTCAGTTTTCATACTTGTGTGAGCCAATTGTGTGTGTGTGTGTGTGTGTGTGTGTGTGTGAGAGATGTGTATAAAATCTCTTAATGGTTCTGATTTTCTGGAGAACCATGACTAATACAGTACCATATGTGCAAATTAACTCTAAATGAATCATGTGGATAATTGTGAAACCTATAAAACTTCTAAAAGAAAATACCAGAGGAAACCTTTGTGACCCTGGGTTGGACATACCTAAAACTTTTTAGATACGATGTGAAAAGTATGATTCAAAAAAAAAGTTGATAAATTATCAAAATGAAAAACTTCTACTGTTCAAAAGACAGTATTAAAAGAATGGAAAGACATGGCTAAAATTGGGAGAAAATACTTGCCAAATATATAAAAAACTCTCAATACTCATTAATAAGAAACAATCAATACAATATAAAATGGGCAAAAGATTTGGTGACACTTGAACAAATGAGATCTATAAAAATAAGCACATTAAAAGATATTCCACATCTTTAATCATTAAGAAAATGTGAATCAAAACCACAATCAAGAGCTACTACATTCAAATTAGGTAGTTTAAAATTGAACAAACTGACCACATCAAACATTGGTGAAGATGTGGGCAACACAACTCAAGCTAAATTTTGTGTTGTGTTCATTGGTGGTAGGAATGTAAAATGGTACAACTACTTTGAAAAACAATTTGACAGTTTCTTGAAAAGTTGACCCTATACCTACCATGTTGTCCAGCCATTCCACTCCTGGGAATTTATCTAAAGGGCAAGAAAGTATATGTCCATACAAAGACTTTTACACATATCTTCATAGTAATCAACTACTACTGTTTTTAACATCCAAAATGGAAAACACTCTAAATGTCTGTCAATAGGTGAATGGATTATAAATTTCATATATCCATATGATAGAATATACACAGTAATAAAAGTGAATAAACTGTTGATACATGCAGTAATATAGATGAAACTCAAAATAATTATGCAAATGAAAGAAACTATATAAAAACAGAAAATGTACTATATAATTTCATTTATAAAAAATTGGAGAAAATGCAAACTAATGTACAATGAGTAACAGAAAGCAGATCAATGATTAAGGAGGATGGTGCAGGAGGCAAGAATTACATAAGGTCATGAGGAATCTTTTGGAGATAATGAATACATTAATTATCTTGATTGTAGATATGGTTCATGATGTCAACATTTATCAAATGGTATACTTTATATATAAGCAGTATATTGTATGCCATGTGCACCTCAATAAAACTGCTGCACACAAGCACACATACACACACAGTCCTCTCTTAAACTATACTGGAAGAAATTATTCAAGAAGTAGCAAGATTTGTTGATAGATCTAAGTCTGCCTTTAAAAAATTTTTACACAGTTTACCATAGGGGCCTTTTTATAACCTCAGGATATAGGACAAAGAAAATATGAATTGGAATATTTGTTTCACTGTTTCAGAACTAGTCAGGATCTCAGGTGCGGGCAATTTGCTCTCTCAAGCATATGTTAGAGAAGTTAACTTTCACAGATTTCACAGATGTAGCTCCCTGCTTGTATTACACTACCATATTCAGTGCCATCCCAACCCACCTCACAAATGTTCTTGCCATAAAATTTTACATCTCATAATAAGTAAAGTTGGTAACTAATGGAAAGATAAAGTTGATTTTGATGTTTTAATCTTTAGAATTCTTAATATTTCATGAAAACCACATATAGTTGTATTTCAAATATCTCAAATCACTTTCAGAAACACAGAATAACATTTGAAGTATTTATGGCTCTTCTTATCAATATCAAATCTCCTTTCACTAAAATAATGTTATGCAGTATAAATAATAATATCCTGAATAAAATATATTCAGTATAAAGGGAAACAAAGATGGTTTGCCTTAAGTGGAAATTTAAAAGTTATTTGGCCCTTCTGCCATCAACAACAACAAAAACAGAGACAACATAGAGATAACACTAAAAACTGTTGTTACTACTTTAATCTCTATACTTCTGCATAAATAATCATTGTAATTTGCTGAATATTCTTTCAAAACTTCTTCTTTTCATGTGATGACTTGACTAATAGCAAGGTAGACCTAGCCAGAATATAGCAGGGTCCTATAGAAAACTTACAGTTTGGCTGGCGCATTGGCTCACGACTGTCATCCCAGTACTTTGGGAGACTGAGGTGAGTGGATCACTTGAGGTCAGGAGTTTAAGACCAGCCTGGCCAACATGGTGAAACCCTGTTTCTACTAAAAATACAAAAATTATCTGGGCATGGTGGTGTGCGCCTGTAATCCCAGCTGCTCAGGAGGCTGAGGCAGGATAATTGCTTAAACCCAGGAGGTGGAGGTTGCAGTGAGCCAAGATCATGCCACTGCACTTCAATCTGAGTGACAAAGCAAGACTCTGTCAAAAAAAAAAAAAAAAAAAAAAAAAGAAAAGAAAAAAAAAACTTGTATTTTATTTCTATTCCTTTCTCCCCTTCTTACACTCTATAAATTATTTTTTTTCTTTCTCTTCCTCTTTTAATCCTTTTGTTTGTTTGTTTCAGGACAATATTATTTTTTTCTGTTTCTTCATGAATCCCTCAAACTGAGAAGGCAAAATATTTTATGTATTAGTGGAGCAAAGCATTGGCTTGAGAGAAGTGTGGTTTATTCTTTAGCTTGGACAGATAATTTATATCGCCTGTCCTCCCGGTAGTTTTTATATAGGCAATTCACTTTTGCTTAACCTTATGAAAAATGCAAGATTGCCGTACAAACACAGCTACTAGAACTCTGCAATATAGAAGAAGTTGCAGGTAGGATAGGACGTGATGATGGGATAGGTCACCAAAGTCATTTGCCATAGATCTCCTTTAAGCGAACTCCTTTAGAAATAGCATTACCTAGGAAGATTTTAAGTTTTGACACAATCCTCTGTTTTATTTCCCTTTGATTCTGGTGTTTCACAGCTGCTGAAGGAATGGTGTGCAACCATCTGTGTTCCAGTGATGGCTGTTGGGGACCTGGGCCAGACCAATGTCTGTCGTGTCGCCGCTTCAGTAGAGGAAGGATCTGCATAGAGTCTTGTAATCTCTATGATGGGTAAGGCTTCTTCTAGGGTTGCCTTCACCTCATGAGCTTTGAAGGACTGATTAGCTCTGATTTTTTTGTTTGTTTGTTTGTTTGTTTGTTTTTTGAGACGGAGTCTCACTCTGTCACTAAGGCTGAAGTCCAGTGGCACTCCGCTCACTGCAAGCTCCGCCTCCCGGGTTCACGCCATTCTCCTGCCTCAGCCTCACAAGCAGCTGGGACTACAGGCGCCCGGCTAATTTTTTTGTATTTTTTTAGTAGAGAAGGGATTTCACCCTGTTGGCCAAGGAGGTCTAGATCTGCTGACCTAGTGGTCCACCCGCCTTGGCCTCCCAAAGTGCTGAGATTACAGGCGTGAGCCATCGCGCCTGGCCTAGCTCTGATTTTTAAATTTTAAGAAAATGGTAAAATGTAGGCCAGGATTTTTAAGGAGAGTTCTTGTTGCATAAAGGAGACAACACATAGACGAATTCTTTTAAGGAGAAATAATTTTATTTGAAATTACAAGTTCAAATACATAGTTTACTATTGTATGCATTTTTAAAAACATACTCGGACAATTCTTAATAAATTATAGCAATTTACACTTAAGCAAAACTGAGAAATATATTCCCGTTTTCTTTATGAAGGGGATTGTTATAAGTAATCTTCCTCTCCATATATCCCAATAATATTTTTTATTTTCCTCTCATACTTCCCTATAAATTTCATCTGGAGTGCACGTTTTCTTTTTTTTTTTTCTTTCCACTCACTTTTATGTCTATTTGTATATAGGAATGGCTTGTCTCTATGTGTCTGACAAGTGATCAGCCCAGTAGAAAAACTACATTGTAGTTTCTACTTGAAGTGGTTTAGAAAGTGTTCTGCCAGGTTTTAGATAATCTAAGTAGTATTTTAAATCAAGTATTTTTAACTTTCTCTGGTACTTCAATAATAACATTACCAGTAGGAGAATCTAGTAAGTACCTGGTTGCATAATATTTCATATATTCATAAAATCACTTTATCATAACATACTATTTGATGCATTATTCTTGTTCTTCATTAGTGTGATAATGCATTTTTAGTGCTGCTCCTGAGTCAAATTTTCTTATGTTGCTCACTGAAAGTATTTTCTTTTTTAAATTTTTATTTATTTTTATTTTTTGAGTCTAAGTTTTGCTCCTGTTGCCCAGGCTGGAGTGCAATGGCCTGATCTCGGCTCACCACAGCCTCCACCTCCCAGGTTCAAGCAATTCTCCAGCCTTAGCCTCCCAAGTAGCTGGGATTACAGGTGCCCGCCACCACACCAGGCTAATTTTGTATTTTTAGTAGAGTCAGGGTTTCTCCATGTAGGCCAGGCTAGTCTCGAACTCCTGACCTCAGTTGATCTGCCTGCCTCGGCCTCCCAAAGTGCTGGAATTACAGGTATGAGCCATGGCACCCTGCCTGAAAGTATTTTCAATAGCTTTGGAAAGTATGGTTTTGAAGTTCTTTCATTTCTTCTTGTGCCTTGTGAACTATCCCACTGATATTCAATAAATAACATTGCAATTTTGCATTTTACATGAGAAAAATAAAAATATAGAGATTATAATGATATTGACATGTCTCTTCTTTGCAAGATGTCCAAAACCAATTCCCTCCATAAAATATAAGGGGAAAAGATTAATATTAGAAGCATAAGTATAAAAAAATTAAGTAAGAATTTGATCATTTCTCAGGAAAATTTTAGCATTTAATTTTGTGAGGTAACTTTGGCTTGCAATTTGCAAATGATAGGAAATTATTTGCTACTTGTCTCACTGAATCATATTTATGCTTGTTCCCAATTTTATGAACATAAAATACCTCAGATCAAAATATGCTTGCTTTTGCATTCAGCAATTGATAAATGAAACAAAACACAGTAGACTAATAAATTAAAATGAAACACAATAGACCAATTTCATTAAGTGAATATTACATTAAAAGTTTATTGAATACATATGTGTAATTCTAAAGAGGAAATTAATTACAGAAATCATTTTGTGTAATAGCAGCATCTTATAAATAGAGGGAACTGGTATAATTAAGTATGAGCTAAAGTCACAACACTACATAGGACTCAAGCCAATGCTAGAACTTAAGGTATCTGATTTTTCATCTTGTTTTTTTGTTTGTTTGTTTGTTTTTCCCAGAATACAATTGTTTTTCTTTAATATTACAGTTTTTAGTTTTTCAGAAATATGAAATTTATAAACATGTGTATGTAAATACCAGTTTCTTTCTCATTTCTGCAAAACAATGAAAGCTAACCAAAGGAAAAATACAGGTTTCCTAAAGAAACACTGATTACCACACTGTTTTTTTATATTTAGCATATTTGATATTTACATCATAAAATCAAATCTGTTAAATTAACTTAGTTTTTAATGTATTTTGCAGTAATTGTGGCAACCCAGGAAACCATAAACATGGGGCTAGTTTGAAAGATGATCAACGTATGTGTCTTGTAAAAGACTGGTGCAATTCTTGCCTGCCCAATGATGGATTGCCTACTTTCCATCTTGTGGTATGGGCTAGTCTCTTTCAACATTGGCTGATGGTTATGATAGCCTTTGAGGAAGAACAAGTTAATATCCCAACTTGCTTAAACTCTTGTGAAAGTTTAAGAACAACACAGAAACATCAAAGAGAGAACCAGTGTAAGCTCTTTGCAAGTGTTTTTACATTTAATAATTGCAGCTTCTCAATGAAATCTTATTTTTTTCCTTTTACAGAGGATATTTTTTTAAATGAGGCTTAAGGAAGTTCAAGTATTTAAGGCCTAGAAGTATTAGTGTTGGTCCTGGGCTTTAAATCTGGAAAAGCTAGATCCCAGAGTATTCACTCTTGATCACAGGACTTGCTAAGGTAGCACATACAACAAAACTGTGAGAAATGTATCATAGCAAAACCAAGTGAAACAAAGCTCTGTATGCAAAGCTCATACTTAATAGACTATAAATTGTTAAATCTGATTCAAGTGAAAGAGTAACTCTGGCAAAGTCACAATAGAATCACTGGAGGACAGGAAAGAAAAAGAGAAATTATGGAGAAAGTCACAATAAAGGGGAGAACAAGTTATAGAGACTGCCAGGAGGATCTTTTCTGAGAGCAGGAAAATCAGAAGCCTGTCAAATGGAAGTCTGTGGAAGAAAAGCGCAATACACTGTCTCCGTGATTGTTTTATGACATACATTTTATTCCTCAACTCTGCATGTGGGGAAGTGGATTTTGGAGAAGAGTAAGAAAAATGTGACCTTCGTTCTAGTAATATGAACACTATAACCTTCATTTAGTACCATAAACTTTTAATCACCCAAGAAACTATTATCCAAACCAGTGGATAATCTCAAGTTGTGCTATAATTGTGTCATAATTTTGTTATGCAAACAATGCTCTTGATTATCTTTACAATTTTACTACCCTCCCATACCAACTCATTTTGACTTTTATATTCTGAAGATTTCCTTTGTTGAGTACTTTGTATGGTTTATGTCAGTGAAGCATGCAAAAGATCACCTGTCTTTATGTAATTGTGATTTTAAAATTAAGAAAATGTATAAAAGGTTTGATCCATAACAAACTACTATCTCACTTTATAAAATGCATAAACCATGTAACTAAATATATGTGCATTCCATACATAATTAAGCCACCTATTTATGCTATTTATTTTGAAAACCAAACTTAATTATTTTGCCTTATAATAGATGTAGTCTTAATTTAACCAACAGAAAACATAGCTCATTGTACATCTGTCATTTATTAAGGCTTTACAGTATTCAAATGAGAAAAAAGTGAACACTTCTCTTTAGGTAAAAATATTTTTTAATGTATCACCTAATGAATCAAAAATTTCCATACCTGTAATGCTGTTGGTGTGGAGTGGTAACACAGGACACAAAAGCACAAAATAATGAAGTAACTAAACATAGTCAAATTTTATTAATGATTTGTAAATGGCATTTTAAATTGTCTGTACTCAGTACCTTATCCTCCTGTATTTTAGTGGAACGGGATGGTTTAAATATATTATAGATGACTTGTATCTAATTATTGATATAAAAATTTTGCAGTAGACATTGATTGTAAAATTGATAAGTTGATTACATGTAATATACAAATAGCCACAGCAATGTAAGGATATAGGAAGGGATGACCACCATCCCAGGGGATTTCAATTAGAAAGTTTAACGATGTTACCATTAAACTATTTCTTTTATTGTGTACCATATAGAATTACTTCAAAAAGAATTTAGACTGCAAAAAGATGTTGTGATATTAGATCAATAATATAAGAAAATGAAATCTACGATAAAATGATATTTTCTCTAATTCTCCAAGGCAGATATTTTAAAAGGAGAAGAAGAATCAAAGTAGTTTTTGAAGTTTCACCAAAAATCAATTGAAGAGTCTTGGGATTTGAAGGACAAGGATGGGGAACATTCACATAACTTAGCAACAAGAAAAATACAATAGTTCTTTCAGAGTTTAGAAAGTAAAGCTTCTCTGAGAGTAAAATTGTATATAAAGACAAAGCAGGCACAGCCTTATTTAAAAAGGTAAAAATGGTTTTACTGCCTCATCAGAACATAGAAGAGTTATACTTTGTAGCTTTTTTTTTTTTCTTTCTTTCTTTTTTTTTTTTTCAAGACTGCTGGAATATGTCTTGCAGGAGAGAGGTTTCCAGTAGGAGTCTAACGTTGAACTCATTGGAGGACAGGGAGAGCCATCTGGCTGCAGTTTATCTTTTCTCCTAATGGAAAACTTAATGTTTCTGATGCTCCTGGCACATAGAGAAACAAACTGTAGAATTTACTCTGCCAATAGGACTTTTCACAGATGTTACTTCATTTGTTAGGTTGACAGCTTGTTTGCTTATACCTCCTCATGTGGCTGATGTTTTCACAGTGAATTTCGGGAGTTTGAGAACGGCTCCATCTGTGTGGAGTGTGACCCTCAGTGTGAGAAGATGGAAGATGGTCTCCTCACATGCCATGGACCGGTAAGCCTGAAGGCATCTGTGGTGTGTTGGTTTATTTAGTATCATGTATGAATGTTTGTTATTATTTTATCATTTATTCATCCATTCAATAGCTACTTATAGGATGCCATGGGGAAACATGTTTATCTGCCTACAAGAGGCTTAAAGTTAGTAGTAGAGATAAAATAGTTAAAAGTCGATGTCATACATACTTATTCTCCAGATAAAATAGTTAAATGGAATTATAAGATATGGAGTGGTCCTGGACTATTGCGCAGTATAGAAAAGAATAATTAGATTGAAGCATAATCACTAACAAAATAAAAATATTTATAAATTGTTATAGAAACACAAATGAAGGAAAAACTAATTCTGTCTTTGGGATGGAAATAAAGACATCAAGATAGGCTATAAAGAAATGATGTTTGAGCTATGCTGTGAAGAAGAATCTGGAAAGAAGAAACATGTAAACATACACAAATGTAAAAGTTCATGTTGTATTTGAGGAAAGCTATCACACATTTTTACATGCATTTAATCCTTTAACTATTGTAGTAGTGTGAAAGACAGTGGAAAGAAGGAGACAAGTACTCATAAACTAAAATCTAAAGCAGTGCAATAAATACTATGGCAGAGGGAAGAATTGAGCTATGAGAATCCAAGGAGGGGTTATAGGATTAGGAAAGTTCTCATGGATGAGGTCTCATTTACATAGTTTGAAGTTAGCCTCAGAGAGAAAATTATAATTATATTTTAGACTTCTCTTTGGTTTCCATCATTCGAGTTTTTCTTAATAATGAGATCAGTATAAATTTTTCATTCCTAATTGTCATTTTCATCCTTCTTTAGACAAATTTCCAGTTTATCTGTGTTATTGAATCATCTCTCAGAGGATAATTTGAGACCAACATTTGGATGTAGACAAGAGCTTCACATTGCTCTGTACGATTTCTTTGGAAATTTAAATAGTATTAATTTTTATACCAGAGTGCTTATTCAGCACTTAATTAGCTTAGAAAAAAATATATATCATTGAGCCCTCCAAACTTCCATTAGGCCCCAATGAGCTGTTCTGGAACTTCATCTAAAGGAGGATGTGGAAAAGTTGGCCAGTTCAGAGGACTACCACAAGGATGATTAGCTTGGAAAATTAGACCTCTGAGAAAAAGAAATGGTGTTGTTTGGCATGAAGAACCAAAGTGTAAAAGGCAATTTAATATGTAATGATCTCCAAGTAAGTATGCAAAGGGCATGTGCAGCTATTCTCTTTCTCCATTATGGACAGTCATGAAAAATACAATTAATCGACAGTGTGAGAAATATGAATTCTGTAAAGAATGTCGTGAAACACAGGGAAGTGAACTTCCATAATGGCCTGTTAAGGCAGGTTGAGATATCTATATGAGTCTTTAAAAATGAACATATTTAGGTAACTTCTTGACTATTAATCATGGAATAAAAAAAAATCTTTCCGAGAGACAGAAATTTTTAAAAATGTATAATTAAAATAATCAAGGATTTGGCCATCTCTGAATAGGCTGGGAATCATCATAGGCCTCTAGATCCAATCATAATATATATTAGACATAGATTTACAGAAACACTTTTCAACAAATTATGAGCAACTGCCAAAACTTGCCTTGATAGTTAAAGAATCAGGAATCTTTCAATGTTAAGCAAGTAAGAACACAATGTCTTTCAGTAGTAGTGTGTGAATCACTACAGGTACCACTGCACTGATATTTCCCATAAATTTCTTATTATGATTTTCTAGATTACTTTTTTCCTTCACACATGTAATTTCTTATTTCTTTCTTTTAACCTTTTTAGTTTGAACAAGGCTTTAAGAAACATCTTACTCATTTATTCAGCAAATATGATTTAGTACCTACTTTGTGCCAGGTTTCATGAGTTTACATATTGATAGGTTTTTACATATTAGCAAATTCAAACATTAATATTCAAAATTATTTCTCAAAAATTAAATTGTATTATTTGCATATTTTAATTTTTTCACATTATCTTTTATTCATCTATTGTATACTGTATAATGAAAATACATTCAAGTAATAATATTTTGGCCTTTCTTGCAATTGTGAGTTTTCAGAAAAATCAAATCTATTTATGAACTAATACTTTTAGTTCACCTAATCCTATAGACAAAAAACTAATCTGCTTAGATGTAGCATAATGAGATACCATAGTTTTTTCTAATTTCATGAAAAAAATCCCCTGCATGAAAACTTGATGTTTGCTTAACATCTGTAGCAAAGTCTAACCTTCACTAAAGAAAGAATTCAGTAACTGTCCCTTCAGTATACCTATGTTAGTTTTCAGGTGTGAAAAAAGTTCAATGATCACTTTACCTCTGAATCAGGTCAGAATTAATCTGATCATCTTGGATCATATTTATATTCATGATTTAACACACATTGCTGAGGGCCTTTTGTGAGCTAGTTCTGTGCTAGGTATTTTCACCTACCTTTTATTTTATTGTCTTGTAGGTATTACTCCCATTTTTCCAATGAGGAAATAATCTCAGAGATGTTAAATGAATTGCTCAATGTAGTTAAATGGAGTGTTCTGTAGTATTGAGACCTTTGGAATCACAATTTTACCATCCAGTCTCAGTGTGCTTATCAGTTCCATGCTTTTTCTCTTCTTCATGATGCCTCCTGTTGCATAAAATTATGCTAGTGAATAACTCATTCATTAATTTCTCCTAATTGGTGGCTTTTTGCAGTTTGTTTATTCACTGTTCCTCAAAAAACTTGAGATGGTTTATAAAAATATACATTTTTAAAACTCTAAAAGTTGATTTTTAAAATTATTTGATAGTTAAAGAATCAGTAATCTTTGAATGCTAAGCAGGTAAGAACACAATGTATTTCAGTAATGGTGTCTGAAATCCTGGTGTGGCTGAGCTCAACCAGTGGCCCAAACATTGCTCCCGCTATGGTTTGGTTTCTTTCAACCCCTACAATTCATATTAGGTTTTTGTCTGTTTCTGGGCCCACATGTTAATTACGACAACTAGAGTCAGAGATGGTTTTGTGTGCCAGTTAACAGTCATGTATCATTTAAGATATCCAAGAAGTTCTGGAAGCTTCTCCATTAGACTGGCACTTTGATGAAATTGAAGAAGTCATCAAAGCCATTTGCAAATCCCCCTCCTGCTCTTATGATATATTCTGTTGAAATCACATTTTTTGATCTATGAATATTTCCCCAATGACAAAAACTGATATATACTTATGTTTACCAAACACCGTTACATCTGAAGCATGCTATCACTTTCTCCCTTTAAAACATAAAGAAATTTAACCTATAATGATTAGAAAGTTACTCCAAAAATCAGCACGTCAGTAGGATATGAATCTGTGACTCAACTATAGAAGTTCTGACTCCAAATTTCTGATACATTTCAGTTCACTTTTGTCCCCCAGGAAACAATGTCTTCAGTGCAATAGAAATAAAATGATTTCAGAGACTATGATAGCTATAAGTAAAATGAGATAATAAAATCCTACTTAAAAATGAAAGAAATCTAGGATATTCTTGAAAGGAATAGATTGGAAATAAAAGAAGGCCTTTGTTTTTATGTCCTTGTCTGTCCACACTTGGTCTTCTATATTTTATTTAATTTTTTATAATTGTATTCATTCTGCTTTACTTTCATTACTTTTATGCAGTCTTATCCAGAAGGATAGAGGAGGAAATACAAGAAGAAAGAAAAACCTGGGAAATCAGACAGTTTCAGCAGACCAGAACTTAGGCTAGAGAGGCAGCAAAAGAAGAGAAAAAATAGGAAGGGAACTGATTTTCAAATACATTCCTATAAAAGTGAAAAAGCTGTTAAAGTTAGGTTAATAAAGGTTGTGCTGCTGTAACAACCTCCATATTGCAGTAGCTAACATAAATAAGGTTAAGTTCTTTTATTTTGTGTAAAGTATGTAGAGGTTTGGTTTTTGTTTGTTTTCTTTTCTTTCTTTTCTTTTTTTTTTTTTTTTTTTTTTCTTGAAACAGAGTCTCACTCTATCACCCAAATTGTAGTGCATGGCGTGATCTCAGCTTACTGCAACCTCTGCTTCCTGGTCACAAACGAGTCTCGTGCCTCAGCCTCCTGAGTAGCTGGGTTTACAGACATGTGCCACCATGCCTGGCTAATTTTTGTATTTTTTGTAGAGACAGGGTTTTACCATGTTGCCCAGGTTGGTCTTGAACTGCTGGCCTCAAGTGATCTGCCCACCTAGGCCTCCCAAAATGCTGGGATTAAAGATGTGACCACTATGCCCAGCCATCTTGTAAAGTACACTGGAAATCTGGGAAGTGTTCTAAGGCAGCTCCCCTGCCTGTTATGGTCTAGCATTCGGGGATGCTTTTAATTTACGGCACTTCCACTTCTACATGAGGTCTGTGAGTCATGGCACCAGAGAAGGCTGGAGACTTAAGCACTAGTTGTCTCATAATCACCTCTAGTTGTATTTCATTGTCCAAATTAAGTCATAGCTTGTCTCTGGTGGGAGGAGAATTACAATCTTCTCATGTGACTGGAATAGAATATAATTGGTTACTGGTGAATCATAACTTTGTCTTTTACAGTAGCTACCAGAGAAAAACATCAATGATGACTCATCATATATATATATATATATATATGATGCTTCTATAAGGATATATATATATATATATGATGCTTCTATAAGGATTCAGCCTATCCTTTAGTTGTCTATCTAGATTATTGACTCCAGAGGTAGCTTAGAATTAGGGATAAGGAAGAATATTGCCTTGACCTTCATTTTCTATTACTGCATTGATCAATTCATTTATTGCGCCTCGGTTCTTAAAGCCTTTGGGGAATATAGTGAAAGAAGAGTGAATGTTAGACACAGGTATATTTCTTTAAGTCTCTTTTTATGTAAATGAGATGGGGAATCAGTACATTTCTTTTTCTGAGATTTGCCTGGACGTTTTTAGTTATGTCAGCCTGGGACATTAGGTTTTCTATCATGATAATAAAATCAAATACAGTCATGCACTTCATAAAGACATTTCAGTTAGTGATGGACCACATATGCAATGGTGTTCCCATAAAATTATAATATCATGCCTTTACTGTACCCTTTCTACATTTAGATATGTTTAGATACATACATGCTTATTATTGTATTACTATCGCCTACAATATTCAGTACAGTAACATGCTGTGCAGTTTGTAGTCCAGGAGCAAAAGGCTATACCATATGGCCTAGGTATGAAGTAGGCTATACCATATAGGTTTGTGTAGGTACACTATGTGATATCCGCACAATTAGGAAACCACCTAATGATGCATTGCTCAGAATATGTCAGTAGGATATGAATCTGTGACTCAACTATAGAAGTTCTAACTCCAAATTTCTGATACATTTCAGTTCACTTTTGTCCCCCAGGAAACAACATCTTCAGTGCAATAGAAATAAAATGATTTCAGGGACTATGATAGCTATAAGTAAAATGAGATAATAAAATCCTACTTAAAAATGAAAGAAATCTAGGATATTCTTGCAAGGAATAGATTGGAAATAAAAGAAGGCGTCATTAAGTGTCACATTACTATAGTTAAGAGATACTTAAAAAACAAATAACAGAAAGTTATTTATCTTATTACAGTATACTTAAAGATTAAATATGAACTTAATTTTACTTTCATAACTTTATATCCTTTGACTTCACCGAGACATGACTTTACAGTATAAGAAAAATACATTTACATTACTTAGAAGACTAATTCCTAATTCTTAATTCAGATTCTGCGTAATTTACTTATTGTAAGTTTTATTCTGTGTGCTGCAAGAAGACATCAGCTTGTCTCTTGTCTTGTACAATAAGTCATGGTACTGAGCATACTTGCACAGTAAATGATTCTGTGTAATAGACAATATTACGTGCCTAAGTACCCATAAGCAGGTGTTAAAATTGGAAGCATCTGAAGTATTCTTTTTTGGGAAGAAATAAGAAGTTACCATTAGCAAACTCCTCAGGCAGAATCAGGATTAGGTTTTATAGGCTTTTTTTTTTTTTTTTTTTTCCCAAGCTCTGAGCCTCACATCAAAATAGTGAAATAGACAAGTGCTTGATTGAGCCCCACCAGTCTCAGGATTTCCTGAAAGCTCTTCCTGATTACTTTTTCTTCTTTACACTTCTATTCTTCATTCACACGCCTCCATTTTTAAATTTTAAAATATCATATTTCTCGATTTCTTGATGCCTTAAGTAACGAATTTGTATTATCTGGCTGTTCTTGGATTAACATTTGTGTAGGACAAACTTGCCCAACCTGCAGCCCATGTGCCACGTGCAGCCCAGGACAGCTTTGAGTGTGGCTCACCACAAATTCGTAAACTTTCTGAAAACATTATGAGTTTTTTTGCAATTTTTCTTTTTGGCTCATCAGCTGTCATTAGTGTTCATGTATTTTATGTGTGGCCCAAGACAACTCTTCTTCCAATGTGGCCCAGGGAAGCCAAAACATTGGACACTCCTGGTTTAGGATATAAGGGACTCCCATTATCTTTACAGTCTATACCTAATATCCAGTTCTTTATAACTTAGTGTTAACTCCTGACTGCCAAATTCTCATTGTTTATAACTACAAATGTGATAGAATTGTCTCTCTGTATACTTACATATAAATATACTTAAATATAAATATATAAATATACTTAAATATACAATATATAAATATACTTAAATTTACTTAAATATAAAATAAATATACTTATTTATTTAAGTTGTCTTCAATGTGTACTGTAATGATTGTTGAACCCTATGGACATAGCCATATTTTAGGGAGAAATGCGTGAGGTGAAGAAGTTCCAAAGGGGAGTGGTCAAAGAGGAGAGGAATTTTAAGACAATATGGTGTCCAAAAAGGAGATGTAAAGTACATTTCAAGTAACTGTTGTTCACAACAGCTGAATGTATGAAAGCATCAGGGATGTCTTTTAAGAAAGATAGCATTACCAAAGTGTTCTAAATTTTCTTTGCTGTGATGATATACCCATTTCTAGTATACTTACTACCCACTATACCAGATCCAAATCAGTTTGTAGTCTATAAAATTCATATATGTTTTAGTTTTAACATCTTAATATTGTCATGACTTTTAGATATATTTTCATATCACTTATTAATATTCTACATATTAGAAAATTAATGTATATTATGAATATAAATATAGAGTGAGTTTGTTCTATTTGCATTTATTATACTCATATTTATATTATCTTCATCCTTTGATAAGTTTCTCCATGGAGCCTTTGTTTGTATGTATTTCCTTTATTATTATGGACTATTTTGCTCATCAAAATGTGCATTTATATGCCTTTCAGTATTGTTCTGTGATTTACTAAAATCCCTATAAATAGACATAATATGACTTTTAGTGTTTTCACAGTGGATATAAAATAAAGAAAAATCTAGGAATTATTTTTATTCACCTAAACTACCTAATTCCTGATAATGTTATCATAACAAATTTTAAAATTCATTTTATAAATAAAGTCATTGTACAACCAAAGGAAAGCTTACATCCTACTCTTATATAAAATTCAGTTTTAGTTAATTCCTATTATATCCTTTTTCTCATTAACTATTTAGTAAGAGTATTCATATATTCCCAGTGATGGTGATGAAATACCTCTAGGGAAAATGTGTTTTACTAAAAATTGCTGCACTATAATATTGCCAGAAATAAATCACAAGAAGAATATACTAACATCCTTTAGAGAAAGTCATTGGACAATTTTGCTGATCGAATTAAGTCACATTAGAGTCATGACATGGAAATCAGTCGGCCCAGGAACTGCTTATGTCGAAAAGGAAAATATTTCAAGAACAAATATATTATTATAGTGTTTTCACACATACAGGATATCAAAACTGAACTTGACGGATCTTCTTTGCACTGTTTGTACTACAAAAATTACATCCACATTTGTACTGCTGAAAATGTTCTCCAATTCTCTTAGAGGAAGATTTGCCACCTACTGAAGTCTCAGTAACTAAACCACATGAATACATTCCAGAGGAAATGACACCACTTTTCTTCTTTTTTTTTTTTCTTTTTCACATTTCAGGGTCCTGACAACTGTACAAAGTGCTCTCATTTTAAAGATGGCCCAAACTGTGTGGAAAAATGTCCAGATGGCTTACAGGGGGCAAACAGTTTCATTTTCAAATATGCTGATCCAGATCGGGAGTGCCATCCATGCCATCCAAACTGCACCCAAGGGTAAGCATCCTGGCTGGCCAAGGGCTCACCTGGTATGTGTTATCCACATGTATCTTTATCCCTGGTACCATCTCTGAAATGTAAACCATTCTCATAGAACTCTACTAATCCTTATATTTGAAATGCTGATTTAAAGAGAAATACTAAGAGAATGATTTAAGGAGTAAACTTTGTACACTCTTAAATATTTCTGCTTAGCTTTTACCTGTAACCATTCTATTAACACCTTCCTGAAACTAGTGTCGGGTATACTTTGGATGCAGTTTAGAAATTCTTGCAGATTACATTAGAGATTCAAGATCTCACAAAAGATATGACAATAATCATGCTTTTGAGGTTTGTGTTTATCAACTCTTTAACAGAAATTTTCTATTTCTGTTTCTTTATTGTCAAAATAAGCTTAAGGTGAGGATATTTCTCTTTGATAAATACTACCTTAAATTACTCCTTCAAAAAAATATGAACAAAGGTAACAATGGCAGGGAAAAAGGGAACCTAGTGATATATATATTTAAAAAATAACGAGTACATTTTGTGAAAGTAACCTTGTTACAGGTAATCCTTTAGCCTTGAATTTCTTCAACTGATATAGGGCAATCTGAATCTTGGTAAAATTTTTTTCCTGTTTTTCAAAAGAATACATTGTGCAATGAATAATAATTAGATTAACTTTGATATTGATAATAGTTGAATAACAAAGACACATTACAGAAAGAAGAAAAGCACTGAACTGTAAAAGAAATAATGTCATTCATTTAACAAATTCCGACAACTATTTCTTAAGAGACAACAAATCTATTTTAGTAAGGATTTTTCCTTTTCATTCCTCCGGAAGGTGAATTTGTAATTGAAAGCAGTGTTACATTTGCCATCCTCCTACTGACCATAAAGCCTTTTCTCCATTGTGAATGCCCATAGGCGGGTGCACATACACATATAAACACACACACACAGACACACACACACACATACACACACATTTGTAGTTGAGAATCAGCTTGGGTGCTTTATATCTGGCAGGAAAGTGTGAGATTCCATAAAGAGATGTTCTGCCAGATTAAGGGATAGCTGTTAGGGGATACTGAAGAAGTTAAGCAAGCGACATCATTTCCTGCCAAGAAAACATCAATTTGCAGATGTTGCTACAATTTCCTGCAGGTCAAGAAATAAGCTTAACTCACTCTGTGAAGTGGCAGATCCTCAAAAGGTAAAGTAATATTCTGCCATTCAAATTCAAATTCAGCTTTGATGTGGTAATTGCCAACTCATTGATTCACACATAAGCACGTATACGTTTAGGGTGCTGAAACAGTCACATAGACACTTTGCTTCAAAGGAAACTAGAGGTAATAAACTGCTCCCCTTGTGAGTTTTTGGCATACTTGAGTTAAGAGTATTGCACAAAAAAACAACTGGTTCTGCTGGAACAGAAGAAAGAGTCAGCAACAGAAAGAGAAAACTTGCCTGCTAAAATAATCCACAAGAGAATTTTATTGTTTTGCAGCTAAAATTAAACCAGTAAATTATTCAATATAATGTTGATGTCAACAGCTGTTGCCATTCAAAATGAGACCTTTTGCTGTTTTTGCAAATCTAATTACAACGAGGCCATTAGGGAAATGAAAGTGAGATCACAGAGCCATAGTCTGGTTGCATGGCTGGTGTGTCTTTCACTCTGCCCTTTTAAATCATTATTATATAATAATAATAAACATATATAGTAGGAGGAAGTAGAAATATGAGGCAATGAAAAGAGATTCGTTTATGGTAGCAACAAAATCTCCATCTCAGTCAAAAGGAAGGATGAAAGTGTAATGGGGAAGAAATCTCACCAGAGCATTTGGGAACTCCAAGTGAACAGAAAAAAAGATGCCTTTAGCAATTTTCAGCTGCAGGATTAAGTTGAGACAGAATTTGAATATTGTACTCCCTGGCGTCTTCCAAGGTAAATGCATTCTCTAATGGCTGACTTAATCCTAAAGGATTTTTGTTCCTGTTTTCATTTAGCTTTCTGCCATCCTGTTTTTAAAATACCTTCTATATTATCCAGATTCACTTCATAAAAATGCTGTGGTTCTAGTCCTAGAGTATTCTAGTGCCAGGAATTCCGGAAGGATGTGATTCTTAAATTCCTAAATCTTCATGTATACTCTATTTCAGTAGAACAGTGTGCTTTGAGATCTTTTACTGAAGCAATAATGTGTTCTGTGCAGTCAGTCCCTTCTTTCCAAATTGAGCATATAGAGATAAGATATTTTCCTAGGAAAACCACAGGGGCAATGAGGATGATAGAGCAAGTGACTATTTTATTCCTAAACACAGGTAATAATCGACCTATTAGTAAGTATGAGCTCACCAGGCCAGTTCCACTTTGGAAAACAGCTTTTCTTTTATATGCCTATATGATGTCGGATAATTCAAGAACCAGGTTAAGGAAAATATTCTTTCCAATCACATTTTTTAGAAGTAAAGTTCTTTCTTTGAATACTGTTTAATGATTTTTCTGAAAATAAGTTATCTGTGTCAAATTTTAAAAGCACTTTTACCACTCTAAAAGTACATTAAATATAATGGCTCTAACAAGTTCTCTAGACACTTTTAAAATAGGTCATCTATTTAGCCCTTATAAGTAGATTCTCACTAATATCCATGGAAACAAGATTGTCTCTTCTTACCTTGACTAGAGAATTTTTATTTTAACAGCCTTTTCTTAGTTTATTCACTCTTCAACTTTGTTATATTGGGTATCTGCTCTGCATCACACACAGTGATAGGAAAATTCAGAAATGAACAAGATGCAGCTTTTGACCTCTGTGAACTCACAGTCCAGTAAATGTATATTCTTTAATTTACATCCTCTGTTAGAGGCCAGACCTTTCTCCACAGTATTTTGAAATGATGAGCAAGAATTTAAACCTTACGAATGATGTTCAGATTTGAAATTAGCAAGATAGAATATTTTTTAAAGATTTGTAAACTAAACTAATGTAATTAAATTGTGGTGAGTGCAAGAATAATTGTTTCCTCACTAATATCATTTGAGTATGTGCTCATTTAACGTCAGTTTAACTTTGGTTTTGCATCAAACCAAACCTGCATTTTAGACTTGGAATGAAATGGTTATTTTATATAATCTTTTAATGGAAAATTTTAAAAATTTCCTTCATTTTTATTTCAAAATTTAAAGATTTTATCAAAATATTGAAACTATGTTGGTTAAATGAGTACATCAAGGAACTTATAAGTCAGTATGTACTAACAAAGGTTAAACAGTTTAATATTCAGAACTTTAGATATGGTTTTGAAATTTGTTAATTAGACATGCTGTGTTTTATTTTTCTGATCTTTCTGTAAGTATTCTACTTTGAAACAGTATTTTTTTTTATAATTCTATTATTCTAGATTTTGATTCAGTTATTTATTTGTGATTTTGGCTCTTCAAAAGTTTAGTGTTTCTGTTGTTCTATGATCTTGCTGAATGGATGCAGATTGCATGTACTAATTAGTTGCTTACAGAAAATACAAAGGGTTGAAAAACAATATCTATATTTTAGTTTTCAGTGGCTTGTATTTAGAAAGGGTGGTGCCACTTCAGTCATATTCTTATTTTTCTTTGTCTTTCATTTTTTTCTTTCATTCTCAGTTTAAAAATAGGTTTGAATCTCAAATATCCTACATAATCCCCTCAGCAACGTTTCTTGACTCTACATCCTGCTCCCTCAGTCCCTCCCCCCATTTCCCCTGACTCTATTTTTCTATCTCCAATTTGCTTCTCAACAAAAACCTAAATTCTAGTGACCATGACAATGACAAGTAAAATTATCCTGAGTTATTTTACCAGACTTCTCTGCATTTCACACTGATGATCACCCCCTGCATTTTAGACTTGGAATGAAATGGTTATTTTATATAATCTTTTAATGGAAAATTTAAAAAATTTCCTTCATTTTTATTTCAAAATTTAAAGATTTTATCAAAATATCGAAACTATTTTGATTAAATGAGTACATCAAGGAACTTATAAGTCATTATGTACTAACAAAGGTTAAAAGTTCTTTTCTGATTTGACTTCCATGAGACTACAGTTAATTGGTTTTACTCAATTATATTTTCCCACGCTTCTGGCACAAAGAGCTCATCTTATGTCACATACTGTTGGGGTTCCTTGGGTTTCCATCTTCAGCCTCTGCTTTTCTCACTTTTTATATCTTCTTTAGCCATCTATTCACTTACATGGTTTCCACTTTCTCCTACATGCTATTTCAAGATTGATCATTCTACTCATGCCTTCTTTCCCCCTTAGTCACTCATCTTTCCAACTGCTGATAAACATTTCTATCTAGATGTAGGACAGCCATACTAAACCCTAGATACACAAAACTGAAATGATCAACTCCTCATCCCCTAACACATACAGGAAGAAACATATGCATCTTCTTGGATTCTCTCAATGATGGTACCACTATTAGTGAAGCTAGAAATGTAAGTCTTTAACTCCTTTGATCCTTTCACTTTCATCAAATCAGGAATCAACTGCTCCTTTTTATTCCCTCTATCTTTTGAGGTATTTCTTGAATCTGTTCTTCTGCCTCTATCACAGTTACCATTTCCCTAGTTTAGTCCATCATCTCTTACATGGACTCAAAGAGTCTTTGTGCCAAACGAGTCGGCCTGGCTGCCAGCTGACTAGTGTCCACAGGGCAAAGAGATTTATTGAAAATACTAATCTAGCAACTTCACTACTTCTTTAAAGCCCTACAGTGATTTTCTATTGATTGTTACTAAGCAAATATTTCTCAAAATCTGGCTCCCACCTAATGTTCTAACTTCTTTTTTTCCCCTTTCTATTGCCTCATATTTTGCTCTCCAACTACTAAGAATTATTTGTAGTTATTTTGCATATACGATACATTTCTTCAGGTCTGTGCTTTTGCTCCTGCAGAAACCACCGCCACCCCAACCCCAGCTCACAACACTAAATTTCAGCTTCCTACCTCCCCCAAGAGGGTTACCATGCCCTTCTAGGGCGGCTCTAGGTGCCCCCCCTCCACACTACCCTGAACCGCTTTTTCATGTTTATTATTACATTTATCACATGATTCAATACACAGCTGTTTATGCATCTGTCTCCTTCATTAACCTTCATTAAATTCAGAGATCATTGAGAATAGAAAAATATCGAATTCATCTTTTTTTCTCCCTCTAGCTCCTAGAATGCTAGGAACACTTAGTAGACATGTAACATAGGGCTTTTTTAATGAATGAGAATCTTTCATATTCACACTTTTCCCTCAAGTTAAATTTTGGTTTTGGATTTTTTTTAAATCCTTCAAGGGTTATTATAAAGATGGATTGGAAACTAGCCATAGCTTTTTAGATTCTCAGTTGGAACTAATAAGTAGACTTTTAATTTTACAAAATGGTAGGAACGTATAAAAAAAAACAAGTTCTTTGGAATATAATGAAAAGAAAACTATATAAGACAAATTGGAAGCTTTTTTAGTAGTTAATTTTCCATTTTTAGAAATGATTTTGACTATAATACCAATTTAATTCTATGTACTCTAGATTTTTCCTTTTTAGTTGCTTTTTAAAAGACTTTTTATACAGGTGTATTCTATTTCTATAGGTTAAAATTTGTGCTACTCCAAACAAAAACAAAAACAAACCAATTTTTCAGCTAGCAGGAATGTTATAACAAATGTTTATGAGGCAAAGAGATGAGATAAGTGACTTAATTGTTATTATAGGTATGTTATATTAGTTCACCAATGTTTAGAGTTATTTAAATATATAATAGATAGAGTGGCCTTATACATAGGCACCTTCTTACATCATTATATGATGATCCTATCCTATCTTTAGCTTCTTTTTCAAATTTGAAAATTAAGAGTTTGGAAATACATGTAATCTTTATTACCAATGAAATAAGGCACTTCTATAAATCATAACCATAAAAAGGATATTGATAATGTTCTCGAGCTGTATGTCTTTGAGGGGAGAAAAGGAAAGGAAAAAGAGTTCAGGTGTATTGGAAGATGAAAGAAATAATACTTCTATGTTAGTTCAAAATGAAGTTCTAGGGACTGTACATTAAAATTCTGTGTACTTATGTAATTCCATTTAAATGTTAGTCTCAGTGTATTCTTTACTTACCTGGGTCTCAAAGGTAATTCATTTCCTTACAGAGTATTTCTTTATCTATTATTGTTTGAGTTCATTATTATGGTAGTTTAAAAACCTGTTTTTGTTTGCCTATTATGGCATTGCTACTTTAAAAGAGAGTGTCAAGATAAACTGCAGTATGGTGAAACCAGTTAATTTTCTTTTTAAATAAATTCATGTTTAAAGATAAGTATCTTTTAAAGACAGACACAACCAAGAACCAGAATAATCTGATTATGTAAAGTATCCATGAGAATAGCATTAAAGCATGTTGACTCATTTTCTGCCAAAATCGATCTTTAATGAGCATTGAGCATCAGGTTATTATATTATATTGAATTGCTTATGGTTTTCTTATTGATTTTTTTTATTTAAACTTAAGGCCTTTCTTAAGAAACCATACACATGAAAACAATTATAGTCACTGAAATATCAACTTATTTGTCGAGACATGTAATCATGTATGATGCATATTAGAAGTGATATTAAAGTATTAGAAGTGAGCTGTGTGTTTGGAAGTTATTCACAGAACCAATGTAATATTTCCTTTTACTGTGGGCATTTCTTTGCATTCCACTTGGTTGATAACGGCAATTCATTTATGTGTGTTCATCAAGCAAAAATCTTCTTGCTGGCTTGAAATTCATTGTGTTCCAAAATAGTCTAATAGTTATAAGAATTCAAGATAATCAATATTTGTTTTACTGATTTTTTAAATGACTAATTTTTCTCCCCTTGTATTTTTTTAAATTTGCATTTTCTGCAGGTGCATAGGCTCAAGTATTGAAGACTGCATCGGCCTGATGGATAGGTACTTGGTGTGCTTGCTTCCCATGTTCTTCCTCCAAGGCTCCATGTGTGAGCACTGGTGCATGTGTGTGCATGTCACTGTGGATGGAGAATGATGTTTTCTGTTCTGTAATTGCCTGCAGGTGTAATGGTCCCACTAGTCATGACTGCATTTACTACCCATGGACGGGCCATTCCACTTTACCACAACATGCTAGGTAACATCTACCATGTTTCCATTTTGTCGCTCAAATCCTTGCCTAGTTATCGTGAACAAAATGTACTAACCAATTGGGTTAAATTTTTAATATATTATAACTCTCAATATATCTAATTAGAAAGTTTTGAAAGAGGCATAAAACACTTTCCTTCTCAAGCCAACTTTCCAACTTTCTTATCTTTTTCCTTCATTCATTGTGATACAAGAGTCCCAGTTAGTAACACCATCGATTTTTTTGGGGGAGACTGAATCTCACTCTGTTGCCCAGGCTGGAGTGCAATGGCATGATCTTGACTCACTGCAACCTCCGCCTCCCAGGTTCAAGTGATTCTCCTGCCTCAGCCTCCTGAGTAACTGGGATTACAGGTGCCTGTCACCATGCCTGGCTAATTTTTGTATTTTTAGTAGAGATGGGTTTTCACCATGTTGGCCAGGCTGTTCTCGAACTCCTGACCTCAGACAATCTGCCCACCTCGGCCTCCCAAAGTACTGGGATTACAGGCATGAGCCACCGTGCCCGGCCTTGATTTTTAATTTGTGTAGTCCAAACAGCATTTTGAGTTATTAATATATAACTTTAATAGAATATTTTTGCTCTTAATTTAATAGATGATTACAAAAATATTTATAAGGAAGGAATTTGCAAAAGTTGATCTATGCTTGTATTTATTATTTAATTTAATTCAATTTCTGATTTTATATTATTTTTAACTGGTTGGCATATTCCTAATTATAAGAATTAACATAAAGACAATACAGAAAATATTTTGTGCAGGTAAAAGTATAACTTGGAATTTAAAAACAAAACATAAGACTCATTTCCACACAAAAACCTATATACTAATGTTTGTAGTGGCTTTTTCATAACCACCCAAAACTGCAAACCACTCAAATGTTCTTCAGTTGTAGCATATCTATATATTGTAACACTACTGAGCAATAGAATAAAAAGGAACAAACTGCTGATACACCCAACAACATGGATGGATCTCAAAAAGATTGTACTAAGTGAAATAAACCAGACTTAAAAAAATACATACTGTATGATTCCATTCACATGGCATTCTGGAAAAGGTGAAACTACCAGGACAGAAATGTTGCCAAGAGCTGGAGACTGGGGTATGGGCTGACTGGAAAAGGGAAGGAGAGAATTTGAGGAGATAATGGAACTATGCTTCTTCTATCTTGATCATGGTGATGGTTGTACAAAAGCATGTGCTTATCAAAAATTGTAGAACTGTACATTTTACTGTATATAAATTATACCTCCATAAATCTGACTTTTAAAATATCTCATAAAACATTTCCTATATGAGAAAATAGTAACTTTACCATCTTATGTAGAGATATTGTTAGATTTATTTACGAAACAAATTAATTACATCCTTTTGGGAGAGAGAAGGTAGTACTAAAGTTAACAAAATGTAAATTTTGGATGAAGTATTGCCTTTTAATGTAAACCCTTGTATTAAAGTATACATAGTGTAAAAGTACACAAAACATAATTGTAAAGCTCAGTGAATTTCCAAAAATGAAACATTTGTGTAGCCATCAACCAGATCAAGAAACAAGATGGCAACAGAGCCCCAGAAGCTACCTTGTACCTCATTCCAAGGGTAGCCCCTGTACTGAATTCTAACACCATAGTTCAGATTGCCTGGCTTTTCACTTTATGTAAATTTAGCCATACAGTGTGTATTCTATGCATCTGGCTTCTTTTGTGAAATATTATATTAATGAGATTCATCTGTGTCACTGAATTTAGTCATAATTTCTTCATGCATATGTTACTGACTTTACATGTTTTTAAAATAAATACATCATCTTAATATATCATTTTAATGAATAAAAAAATTAAATTCCAAAAAGAAAGGGAAGCATGTGCTAGAGTAAATTGATTTCTACAACAGTGGCACTGTGACACTTGGGCACAATCAAGACTAGTTAGTATAGCTACTTAGAGCAAGGTAAAATTATGAAAACATTAGAGAGAGGGAGAGAATGCCTAAGATCTAAAGTATAGTTTCATAAACCAAGGTTCATCTTAGATTGTTCCTATATTTATGAAAGAAATTTTCCTTCTTGAGACCTTGGCAGAGCAACTGCATTATCAGTTTGAACAGTTTTCACATTTGCTTTGACGATTTTCTTATAATTATGTAGTTATTCCAGTGTACTAGTTAGGGGTAATATAGTACAGTGGTTAAGTGTTCCATCTTTAGAATCAGATTTTCTGAGTTCAGAATCAGGCTCTACCATTTTTAGATGTGTAACTGTGGGTAAATTCCTTAAATTATCTGAGCCTCACTTTCTTTATGCATAAAATGGGAATACTAATACAGTTCACAAACTGTAAGATTGAATGTGTCCTTAGAACAGTGCCTGGTCACTCAATAAGTATTATTATTTATTATATTTCTGTGTATCAAAAGTTCTCAAACCTTGGGGATGAGAGAACATGCTTCCCAGTGTGTATTTCACTGAAAGGAGAGCACTGATTTAGAGAGTCTCTAAAGTCACACGGGGAGCTTTGATGTGTACCTAAAGCTCTTTTGATGGGCTCCTTGAAGGAAGAGAGAGCATTTCTCTCTCTTCACCTTCAGAATCTCGATTACAATGTTGGCCACTGATACTAACTGTGGTAGGTCATTGGCTGATATGTGGAGGCAGAGAAAAGGTTAAAACCACATTGATAGATCACTTGTTGTCCTGAATGCTTGTAATTGAGGTTATTTAACTCAAAATCATAGTGTATCTTGTTATAGATTTAACATTTTCAAAATTTAAACAAAAGCATGATTGGAATTAATCCTCTTGCCTGCTTTGGTTTCCAGGACATGTTCAGTCTGAGATTCCAGTAATCTCAGACTAAAACATCTAGTTCAGATTAGCCTTATCACAAATAGGTGACCATGACCAGTCACTGTTTATAGATAATACAGAAAGTAAAGCCCATCATTTTTAAGAAGAATCACCTGTAGCCCACAATATAGGTAAAAAGCAGGGGTTCTTGAATGTCTAGGTTCAAATATTGGCTCTATCATGTTTTTAATCTGTAAAATGGGAAGTATAATGATTATTTTGAAACTGAGAATTCTTATAACCCTTAAGATTGGTGGGAAGATTACATGAGATAATGCATACAGCTTTAGCCAGCATATAGAGTGTATTCATTGGTGGTACTTACTGCTGCCGTTGAAATGTTGGCATAATAATCACTTTGAAAACCTCATAAAGTTAGTAATTTACATATCAACAAGGCATTAATCCAGTGGATTAGTGACTACAGGATTGATATATCAATATTACTCAGGTTTTAAGCATTTCAATATTATACCAAACTTCTAACTATAATAATTTAAAATAATTCATAGCAATAGGTAATTGTTCCTTTTAGGAAACTCTAGATATATTTAATTAATGCCTATTTAGAACTTAAATATAATGCAGTGTGACTCCATTCTTCAATTGCATTGACTTGTCAGAATCAATTGACTTGTCAGGGGATGTTTATAAGAAAGTTTGAAATTTACGTGAAGTATTTAGCCTGGATGCCTTGCAAAAGTGTGTGTGATCATGGAACATTTTGATGCAGATTGGGTAAGACGTGAAAGTAGCAAGTATCTGATTTTTCAGGTCTTCAGTATTGCAAAAAATGGTTACCTCTCTGAGATGAGGTGGGCGTGTATTTCATTGAAAGGAGAGCACTAATTTAGTAATATTATTTTTAAATTTCATCATAGTTTTTCAAAGCATCTGTCAATTAATTAAAGTGAATCTTACATAATAGGAGGACAAAAACTACAAAGGAAAATAATTGTTTGGGGCAGGGCGCGGTGGCTTATGCCTGTAATCCCAGCACTTTCGGAGGCCAAGGCAGGCAGATCACGAGGTCAGGAGATCGAGATAAGCCTGGCTAACACGTTGAAACCCCGTCTCTACTAAAAATACAAAAAATTAGCCGGGCGTGGTGGAACATGCCTGTAGTCCCAGCTACTCAGGAGGCTGAGGCAGGAGAATCTTTTGAACCTGAGAGGCGGACGTTGAGGTGAGTCATGATCCTGCCCCTACACTCCAGCCTGGGTGAAAGAGCGAGACACTGTCTCCCTCCTCCCTCCTCCACCAAAAACAAAGAAAGTAATTGTTTTGAGTTTCTTAAACCATATTTTAACTGGCGGATTATCCAAATGCCTAGTTTCTTTTTAGTCACAGAAAATTACATTGAGCATGTCAATGTGGCCATTTCAAAATATTTAGTGTTCATATTCCCATATTCCCTCCACCCCATTGTATTCTGTTTCCTAAACCAGAGGGGGCAGGGTGGGAGCGGAGCGGGGAGAAGAAGATTTAAGAAGATCAACTTTCATTTTCTAAGCAATGTTATTCTTTCCTAAGCCTGCAATTTATGAGTTGATTCCACACTCCATTTATATTATAGGCTGCTGCTGGAATTTCTTTCAGGAAGATTTGATAAGATAGAATAGAATTTCTTTTTTACCTTTAGTCTCCTAGAATATGCGGCTTATAATGAAAATAATACTTGATATTTTAGAACCTCTCCCTACTTCCCTTATCTGAATTAAGTGCCTTAAAAATAGTATTTGCCTTTGGTGGTTTTCCTTTTCCCTCAAGAATCCTATAAAAAATATGTTTAGCAAGATTTTTTTTCATTCTTTTCTGTATATTATTTATTTTAGCTTGCATACATGCTATTTTCATATAGATTCTGATGGAATAGAATATTTGCTTCTAATCTATTGTAGATTCTTGGTCAAATATATATCCAAAGGTTTTTTTGTTTGTTTGTTTGTTTTTTTGTTTGTTTGTTTTAATCTCAGTCTCGTATTAGGGCTGAAATTTGTTAATCTCAATAAGTCAAGTTTCTATTAGCAAAACATGTCTTTATGTTAGTTAGCAGTCCACATGTAAACTGACTAATAACTCTTTTCAAATTTGTAAAATTATTAAAACAACTAGATATCAAGCATTTTTATCTAG